TTAAGAAAGACAAACTTGTGAAAGAAATTATATGAAGTCACACTTTTTCAAGTCTTCAAATTCTAATGAGCCTTCAAAGAAAATTCTTACGTTTAGATGATGTGAGTTGATAGCTAAGAAAGATGTTATTTTAAATAAATCTCAATTGATTAGTGAAAGAATGTGTTTAGCTTTGTATGGGATAGTTAGAGAAAAAGGGAGAAAATGTAGGTAGTTATCTAGCCCTGAAATATAATTATTTTAATTTCCATTTCTTGAAAAGACTGTAATAATGTGATATCTGATGAATTTGATGTAGTAGTGCTTCTTTTAAAATCAGTGTGATTTCCTCCTTTATAAAGAGGAATCAAAATCACCTGTTATTAATTAGCACTATATTGCTATACTATATCTAATGATTGCATTTTGATACAGTGGATTTTAAAATATATAATTTCAGCATGGTGTTTAGGTTGTAATTTTGCTACTAGTGGGTGACATAGAAAAAGTCACTTACCCTCTCTTGTTCTCAGTTTTGTAGTATTTTGGATTTCTTAGTTTTCATTGTATTTTTTTTCCAGGAAGTGGTAGCAATGTATTTTCTTTTATTTTTATGATTTAAACATATAAGAGTAACTTTTTCATGTTAAAAAATTATATTGCATGGAATCTACCAATGGCAGTGAGGTTTTCTTTGTTTGGTTTCATTTGATTGTAGATACATTTTGGGCAAAAAAAGTATCTAATATATCTGAATATGAAGTTATAGATGTCAGGAACCTCTCTGTCTCCTTGGAAAGTCTAGTACTTTCTAAGTTTATTGCTTCCCTATTAAGAAACAGTGATCTCTTACCTATAAATTTGTTTATCGAAGGAAGAGTGAAAAACACTAGGCTGAAATATCAAAGTGTTTCAAAAAGAGTCTACATAATCCTAAAATAAAAAGGTCTATAATGCTTTAGCATGAGCTCTGTGAATAAATTCCAGTAATGTCTTTGCTAGTTACTGAATGCTTCATTGCTAAGTAACTTCAGTAAACACTTCTAAAGGCAACCACAAATCCACATTCACAGAATGTTCTACATTATCCATACATTGCAAATACTAATAACACATATCACCATTTTGTTATGACACTTATCTTAAAATTAGAAATAGAAATGAAAGGAACCGGGAAAATGTGACGAGGTCAAATAAATTTGGGGGTAGGTAAGATTAATCTTCTCTGAGAATGCCCTTGTGCCCTATTTATACTCCCTGTACTTCATTCTGAGAAACACTGTTTTAGATCCACCAAGTCTGCAGAATTCTTAGTGATACTTTTCAAATAGACAGTCAACTAATGCAACAAACTAATTAACTAATTGGTAATGCAATCAATTAGTTGTATTTTTCCTTTTTGATTATTTGTATTGGAGTTTCTAGAGATCAACCTCATTAGTATAATGCCTAATATTCACTAACTATTTAGCATCCATGTGTAAATGGCTCTGGTATTTCCATTATTATTCACATGATTTTTCTTCAAAAGTTACATGCATAAATTTTCACATTATTAATAGTATGATTATTAGCAGTTACAAACTTAATATTATAATTAATTATCTCTGGAAAAAGTAGTGAACAACTGTAATATAATTGCAACCTGCTGCTTTTATTATAAAGGTGAAGAATTGTTAATGTCATATCTGAAACTTTTGTCTGGTCAAAGTACCTTTACTTCCTTTCTTTTCATTTTAACTATGAACCACTAAAATTGTATTTTTAAGATAATTTTCAGTCACTTTTGGGTGGTGTGCAGTGTGCACTTTACAATTGACTTATAATTGGACTGTGCTGACAATGGAAAATCTTACAAGTATTGAACATGACGTTTATGACAGTATTGCTGTCATCTTGGCTTCTTTTATTGAATATGCAAAGAATTATAATTGGGCTAACAAGCCTGGTAGCCTGGCCTCTTTCCAATTATATTAACCAGCCTAGTCTAGTATTAGCTGCCTGAAAACACACAGAAACAGACACAGAGCATTTGTTTTCTTTCCTATTTTATTTTGCTATCTATCCAACAATCTAAGAATAAAATCACCTGCCTTCATGTAATGTTGGAGAACTTTCAATGAGTCATCTCCATCCCACTGAGAAATGTGAAGATTTGCCTTCTCTGTTTTTATTTCAATAATTTTTAAATAAAAGATGATTTTAATAAAAGATTAGTTGTATCTGTTACATATTTGATGCTGACTATTACCGCAAAAACTTCTAAAGGTTTTTGGCAATTTTTCTTTGAATGTGTACTAAAAGTTTTAAGTGATGGATTTGAATTTGAAGTAAAATTTATTTTTATGTGAACAATTCTATATACTGAAATATTGAAATATTTTCTTTGAAATTGAGTCAAATAACATTTTTTGTATGATCTACAAATGTCTCTCAGCTCTGTGTAATCTTAAAACAACACACAAGATGAAAATAATTTCTTAATGATTAGAATTCTGAAATCCACTAAAATTCTACCAAGGAATTAAAAATGGAATTTTTAACTGAAAAATAAAAAGTAAGAAAAGTTAAATGAAACAGTTTGTGGTTTAAAAGATCCAAGGAGGACGTTGTAGTGTAGCAGTTATTTGGAACACTAGATTCTGTACTTCTGTTTCTCTCTTTTTTCTTTTTGCTGATTTCCTCTTATTTTAGAACATTTCATATACTTGCATATTTTTCTCCCAAACATTCTCCACAGTTCCATCTGCAGTATTTAAGGTCTTCATCTTGTCAGTGGTTTCCTGGATAGAAATATAGGGGGGAAAAAAAAACCAACCCTGGGAATCTGTCCTACAGAAGCAAAACACCAGTACAGTACACAGGGATGTGACATAGGATGTGTATTACAGTACTGTTATTAGCAGGAAAAAAAAACCCAAAACCAAAACACTAAAGACAACCTGATTATCTACCAATAGGGAAATAGTCCCATAGTTCATATACACTAGAGAAAAAACATATACAACTATTAAAATTAGTGCACTAGAACTCCATGTATTAACCTGGAAAATGTGGGAAAAGCAGGCTGCAAAGAAATGTGTATAGTATGATCCTATTTTTGGAAACAAAATACACAAAATGTACATGCTATTTCTTTTTATAAGAATAGCAGAATTTATTTTTATATCAGAAAACTTTTAATATTGATTATTTCAGCAGCAGCTTTTGGAGAAGGATGAGATACTGTTTTGTTATCTTTGTCCCCTCTTATTTTTGGCATCTGTCAATATTAAACTAAAAATAAAGAAATAGAAGCACTTCATTCATTAATTTGGAGCAAATTTCCTGGTAAAAAATGACTTTTAAGGTTTTTAAGTTTTAATATTAAATATTTTAGAGAATCTAATGGACTACAAATTTTGTTATGAATTGTTATATCATAGTAACAATATTGCCAAAATAGTTGGTAGTTTAATTTTGTGTCTTTTTTTTAAGTTAGTTTAAATTTTATATTCATATTCTCCATCCACTTTTTTTCATTTTAAAGTTGTGGAATAAACAGAGTTTGAATGGAATTATGACAGGACTTAAGGTTTCCTGAAATAGTTTTGCTTTTATTTAATATATTTTTATTTGAAAAAAATATTATTTAAAAATATGTACATTTTTTATGAGCTAGTAGAAGATAATACAACAGTAAGATAGTTTTTGTGATTGTGGATAGAAATGAAGTTCTCTGTGAGTGGTCTGGCATGTACCTAGACTTGCTAGAAATTTTTGTTTAACTCTAAGTGACTTGAAAGAATAAAGTGTACATTAAAATTTTCCATATGCTGATCATAAATACTATATCTAAAATCTAAATTAAACTTCACTGAGGGTCAGTATGCCAAACTGGAGACTGCATATTTCCCAACTAGGGGATGTGTTGTTTCATCTTGAACATCATTTAGAGAATGAAAGAGCACTCCTTCCTCTGTCAATCTTTCTTTTTAAATAGTATTTAAGTCAAAATAGAACATACTGCTTCACAATGTTTAGAGGTATCTAATCATGCATTTTGTCAAGAGGTCTTCCTTTGAGTAAAGAACTCTCCTATTAGGACTGTACTAACTTCCTCATTAAATTTACTTCTGCCCCAAATAGTGTTTACCACTAGATATAAATAAACTGAAGTTTCGACTTCTTAATGAAAATAATGCCATTTAGAGTAATGAAGTTTTCTAGTTTCATGAGCAGTGTGTTCAACCAAGCACCAAACAGCTGAAGGTTAATGCATCATGCGATTTTGCTTTGGCTTGTAGACCTGATATTTGCATTTCGGTTAGTTGTTGACTCAGTGCCTTAAATCCCAGCAGTATAAGGTAGTATCTTAGAGCACAGATTTCAGAGTCAGACACACCTGGGATCAAATCCCAAATTTGCTTCTTTCCAGCTGTGCCATAGTCAGCAAGTAATTTGACTTTTCGAAGTTTCAGTTTTCACATGTGCGAGGCAATGATATCAAAACTTACTTCTTGAGATCATTGCGTGGAAATGTATGTAAAGTACTCAACCCTCATCTCTGACATTTAGTAAGCACTCAATAAATGCAAGTGACCTGCCTTGTGATTTATCCAAAAGTTATGGATTACGTTTTAATTGTTAAATAATACGAAATGTACTTAAACTGTATGTTAGTATTCTTAATTGAGTTATTAACGAAAGCTTAAAGTTAAAAACGACATATTGAAAGAAAGATACATAGTTCTTAAAAAAAATCTGGTGCCTTCTGGTATTTGGAATTCGCACTCTGTGGCTCCTATCTTTTATTCTTTCTTATTCAAGGACTTTAATCATATACTAACAAAATATAACCAATTGTCATTTTCTTTGTTGTAAGTCATATTCATCTAAAGTGTATTGATCATGTAATCATAAATTTATCATTTAGACTTTAACTAATAATAATAACATGCCTTTTTTTCTTTTGAGAGGCTCCATCTAATAATCTAATATGTTTGTTCTCTTCTCCTTGTGCAATCTTTCCTTGGTACCAGCGGCTGCTTCAAAGAATAAAGTTAAAGGTGAGCTCTTGTCCATTCTGCATGATTCACTGTGATTGTCTTCTGCTCAGTCTTCTAAGTCACCTTAAACAATAGAGCCAGTTCTGTTGGTGATGATACCAGCCCAGTGTGTAGACACTAGTTGTACATTGCTCCAGATACAAACATATATTAATCGTTCAGTTTCTGATATATGTCTCTGTTTGCATGATTGCTTATGAGTTTGCTTATTTTCTTGTTTTATTTCCCACTTTATTCCAAGTGGAATAAGGTGTTTTTATGCCTTAAAATTTTGCCTGTTGACTTTAGTTTTCTTGATCAAATTGAGAATTGAAAAAAATCCAGCATAAAATAAAGCTGATGTAAAGCCTCAAAATTGAACATACCTTCATAGAATTATATGAAAAGAAAATGGTAGTGTTTAGAAATTGAATATTATAAACTCCAGTTTTCTATTTATGATGTTTCTTCTTTTTCCTAGTTGTGTTAAGTTTGCATTTACTACAATCCTGAAAATATATTTTCATGAGAGAAGATAGGCTCTTCTCATGCCAGAAGAATGTCTCCCTGAAGGAAAAAGACTTTTGACTTGATGTGTCAAAGTCTTTATGATTTTAATAGAATTCAAACATATGTGTATATATTATACATGATACTGCATAGGTTTATAGGTTATGTGTTTTTATTTCATGTTCTCTAAAACAATCTATATATTTAAAAAATGTTTTCTCCTTCTTGTATAGCAAATATATATATTTCCTCTTTCATTTATCTTTATATAGCAAACTGAAATAACCTTACCAGTCATGTAACTGTTAGCTTAAGTTTTCTTATCCACAGAGTGTGATAACAATAAATACTTCAAAAGGTTCTGAGGATTAAGTGAAATATTTAAAACAACTAGTAAACTTCTGGCTGCTACTAGTGTTTTAAACAATGCTAGTTTCCTTTTGCTTCTAACAGACCTGCTTCTTCTTTGAGGAGAATTTTCTGATTCTTTATCATTCAGTATTGTCCTGCCTAATACCTTCCTCTGTCCTTAGGAGGAATAGCCAGGTGGTTTTGTCTCTTTCTTCCCTTCTCATATGCACATCTACCATAAGGCCACCCTCCAGCCCTGCTCTCCCCCAGGTACTAGTTTTCACACTACACACAGACTCATCTTGGGAGTGTTAACTGCTCCCTGTTCATAAGACTAAGCATTTAGTGTATAGCTGTTATTTTCCTAGCTGTGTATTTGTTTTATAGAATACTAAAAATGTAAAGAGCAAGATGGCAAATATCTTGTTACCCTTTGTTGAGTCCTCCACATCTAGCCTAGTCTCTTTTTCAATAAATGTGCTAGAAGATTTACGTAGTCCTTGCCGCAGTAATCTTCTGATCGTGGACAAAAATAAATACATTCACAAAACAGTTAAGAAATTACTTGATAATGAATACATGTTTAATGAAATATATTTACATAATAAAGAGTTAAGATGTACAGCTTTAGAAATGAAGAATTAAGAACAATGTATAATATAGTGTGTTACTGGTGGGATGCAGAACTTGAGTGTCAAAAGATTTAACGAGAGGTATATATTGAGGTATCCTTACTCTTAGAGAATGCTTTATGTGGGAGGTGGGGCTTGAACTGACTCTTGAAGGATAGGTAGGATAGATATAGAAAGAAAGTAGTTCATGGCAAAAAGAATTTAAAAGTATAGGTACAGGTATAGAAGCAGGAATAAGTATAGTTCATTTCATATCGTGAGGACACCTTTTGAAAGAAGACCTGTGTTTTTATAAGAGTGGAGAAAATAAATCTGATAATGCAGTAGGCAGTGGAGTAATCATGAGTCATCACTGCATTTTATCACATAAAATCTCTCATAATAATCACATCTATGTTCACTTGACAGTTCTTAAAATCAGTGAACAGTAATTTAAATTATAATACACAGGTTACGAAGTGTTAAATACAGGAAACCAATTCACCACTGAAGGATTACAGCTATAAATTATATTACAGGTGTCTGTCAAGTCACATCAGGACTCAAACTGGCTAGGATTTTGCAATGCAAACATATTTATGTGCCCAATTTAGAGTGTCCCACATCACCATCCCTATTGTTCCACACCTATCCGTTTTATTTGAATCTCTTTTTTCTACTTGTATACAAGCCTACAAGGGGCTTTAGGACATAGTTTACCCTATGCGTATATTTTTTCATCTGCAGGGTGTTGTAGAGACAAGAAATAACACTTTATAAAATGAACTATGCCTCGAGTAGAAATTGAAAATTTTTCTAACAATTGAGACAGATATATATTATGTAGATAATAGAAAGAACTACTCAATACTTTTATTGTCCAATTTCTATGTCAAGGCAAATGGTCTTCAAACAGGAAAAAAAAAGTTGGGTAAGAGGAAAATAAAACCCAAGATAACACAAGAACAGATTGCTTAAAACTACTACATTCTCCTGGCCTGAGCAAGGTACATCCCAGGGACTCCAGGGAAGTTTGTAGAGAATCACAGTTCATTCATTTATCCTTATGGAATCATGCTAATGTTGGGAAGTTCAGGAACATTAGAGAGAGAAATGGGTTCAGATATTTTTTAAGGAGAAAGAATTACATTCAAGAAACCATAGACTGGTAAATTTGACATCACCTTCCCAAAATAAAATTATTAAACTCTAAAACCAACAATTTGTGGGTGCTTAAAGTCAGCAGCTATTAGTAATAGCATAGAAAATTAACTTAATTTTCTTCCTTTCGTTTTTGAAAAAAAATATTGGTTATTATACCAGCATCTGAGGGCAGTAGCATAAACAGAATATATCTGAATGTCATCAAATTATGTGTCATCCTTTTTATGCAGAAACTGTCATCCTGAATATCACTAATTATTCTTTAGTGGTTAAAACCAATGTTGATTTAACAATTCTGATATTACTAATTTTTTAAAATCTAAATGTACTGTTTCTTTTGATTTTCCATTTCCTTTGGTTTCAGTATCTTTGTACAGACTTAATTTTATTTATAACTGCTCTTTGCCTCTTTCTTTCTCTCTCCTTTTCTATCTTCTTCTGAAATACAGGTTTCATTCATATTATATATTTGATCCTTGAAATCACTTCTCACAGTAATGGTTCAGGTCTCCACATCCTTTTTGAGAGATGAACTTCGATTCCTACAAAAGTTTTTAAAAGCAGCCATTTTCTACATGATTGTAAATGCACAACCCATGTTCCTCACCATTGTTGACTGTTAAGAGAAAGATAAATGATACAATCAAATTCTTCCCTTAAAAAACTTAAAACTGAGAAGGGAGAAAGGAGACAGAGGAAAATGAAAGGGAACAAGAGGAAGGAGGAGAAATGGGGAATCAATTTTGTTGCACTTTGTGGCCATTGTTTTTTGTGTGTAGATGGAATAAGAAGAATTAAGCCTGAGGGGGGGAAAAAAAAGAATGAAGCAGGAATATACAAAGAGTGAAAGGTCAAGAGAGTGCCCTCATGGTGCTTAAATCCCTTGTTCTAACATAAGGTTCTATTTTGTTTTTGTCCTTTGGGTCTTTGACACAACTTTCTTTTAATTAAGCTTTCTATACAAATCTTTCTTGCTTGCAATCAAAATAATAGTTTTCCTTTAAATTTTTTTAAGTTGATTTCAGTTATCACCTTTCTAGACTTGACCTTACTACTAAGCTCCTATCTGACATTCCCATTACCCTGCTGAACACTTCCACTTGAATATTAAAGGCTAAAACTCTGATTTTTCTTTGCAAATCTGAACCCTCGAGGTTTGCTGTGTCATCTCATTTGCCTAATTTCCTAGTTTAAGAGACTTGAAACATCTTGGAGGAGTTAACCCCATAACCAGTCGATAATCAAACTGTCCTAATTTTATAGGAATAAAATTACTGCCTAATTATGTCCTAATTTTACTATGAGAATGGAAGCATTTGCAAGGATTCCTCTTCTTCAGATCATTCATTCCTCAGAGCTTGCCTGGAGTAGTTTGTAACTTGTCTCCTGCTTCAATTCTCAACACTCTGCAATCTGTCTTACCTTCATATATCGCAGTGCATTCGTATGTTAACACTACAGTCTATCCTACATTCATATACCCTACATTCATACATCTTATTGATCAAGGCTTTGCCACATAGAGAAAAAGGTACCTTAGAGTATTACTAAAATTTCTTTAAATAGAATGATTTCATTTCACTCTGTTACAAACTTATAGACTAAATGTATCTTAATGATTGATTTTCCAGAATCATATACAATTCATAAATAGTTTTAGTTCAGTAAATATATTTTTATTGTTCAATCTGATTTTTAGACTTTATTTTTAATTCAAAATTTGACAACTATAGTGGGGATAACATTTTATGCCATTTCTAGAATACCAGATTTTAGATACTACTTTTAATCATTTAATCATAATTTGTGCTCATATAAAAATTAGTACAATTATTCTGACTTTGTATAAGAGTTAAAAGATAATGCAGGACACTCAGCAGTTAAAACTGAGATATATGTAGTTTAGAGAAGACTCAATTTCAATTTATTCTATTTATGTAATAGTCATACATAATATTATTAAATAAATTATTCAGGTGTGAATATAAAAAGTCTCATATTTGACAAATATGACATTTAGTATGCCTCATTTCCCATCATATTTACACCTTTTGAGGGTGAATTGAAAGGCACATAAGAAATTGAAATTGAGGCATTGCTTCTAACTATTTTGAGATTTTTTTTCTTAAGTGGGGCATCTATATTTCAGTCTGTCCTATATAATATTCACTATATATTTTGAAGTTCCATTTTGTAGTCACCTAGGCATAGGTCAAATCCTGGTTTTTCAGCTTACCTGATTTGAGAAACTGGACAATTGATTAAGTTCATTCAACCTTCAGTTGTGACATTTGTAAGAGATAATATACAAAAAGATATTAACTGGGAGGAGGTGGGTGGGAGAGGATAAACTGGGAGTTCGAGATTTGCAGATACTGACAGATACATATAAAACAGATAAACAAGTTTATACTGTATAGCACAGGGAAATATATTCAATATCTTGTAGTAGCTCCCGGTGAAAAACAATATGAAAATGAATATGTTTATTCATGTATGACTGAAAAATTGTGCTGTATACCAGAAACTGACACAACATTGTAAACTGACTATATAACTCAATAAAAAATATTAAAAAAAAAACAGAAGAAGATATTAACCTAGGAAATGGTACATAGTAAACACTCAGTAAAATTTACCTATCATTATGGTTGCTATCATTACTACTATTATTTAAATAATATTCGTAGAAAATAAAGTGAAACAAAACAAAAAGCTATGTAGTTGAAGACAAGTCCCAAACTCCAACTTTTGTATGAGTACCGGCTTATTTCATCTTGATGGTGGCAGTTGTGTGTTTCTATTAATTATAACATTAAAATAAACATGTATAATTTAATGTAAATGATCCACCAAATAGATATATTTTTCTTTCTTCACATTTAAATATTAAAATCCAAAGTGTATAAATATCATTAAAGAATTTCAACTTAATGTCAAAAGAGAAAAATTATAAAAAATATGTCACAGAGAGATTTATATAATACTTAAACAAAAATTACTTGCTTTTATTATCAGTAAAGAAACTGAGGAATAAGGCTATAAAACTTTTTTTTGGAAAATATCACTTAACTCCTTTTTTTGAACTATGTGTAGATTTTAATTTTAAAAATAGAAGGATTTAAACTTTTGTGTAACAGCTACAAAATCTTCATCAAAAATAACTCAAGAAACAATTACTGAAGCTTATGTTTGTTTATCCCACACAAAGCTCATCTAAGGAAATATGTTGGGTGTGTTATACATATGTAAGGGAATTTAAAAGCATGTTATGTTTCTATAACATATTTACTAAGGGAAGGCACTGAGATGGTACCTTGTAGAAGGTTGTTTTCTTAATCCAGCCTCTAGTTCATTTCACTTCTCCAGGAAAATTGCTGAAGATGTTGCTCTGTGTGATAGTGCCATAATGTTTTAAAGATGCAATTTATCACTACAACCTTTCCCTAACTTTTAAAAAAGTACATGACAATAATTATAAAAGCTGATATTTCTTGAACGTTTACTATATGCCAGGCATTACAGTAAACATTTCACATGTGTGTTTTCTAATTTAGTCTTCATAAAGCTCTTTGAGATGGGTACCAGTATTATCCTCATTTTTAAAAGTGAGAAAAATGAAGCAGAGTTAAGAAGTTTGTTTAAGTTCACAAAATGAGTCAGAGGCAGGGCAGCAATTCCAAATCTGTCTCCTGAGTTCAAGCTTTTAATCTATTAAAGTTTCTAAAGAGAACAGGTTAATCAACATTGCAGTTGACCTAATCTTTTTCATTTCTTGAAGTGCATTTACCTAGGTCCCATCCACCCAGGTAGGAATAGGGCTGGGAATGTGAGTAAAGTAGAATGGTGATGTTATCAGGAACAAATAAATTGGACCTCCCTTGCTAGGTATATTGGTAAAGAAAATATTATCCCAATAGACTTGTTTCTCATTGTTTTTTTATTCTTTTCCTTCTGGGTTTCTCATTCATTCACCTTATGTTAACCTCACTTACTTTTTTTTGAGAAAGCAAGGAGATAATTAGTTTTCAATAAGATGAGTAATGTTCTAGAAAAGCTTTAGGCGTAACTAATGTAACATGTTGAACTCAGAAGAGTGTAACAGGGTTAAAAAGTGTGTTCATGAAAATTTTATTGTGAGATGATTCAGTGGGTCAAAATGTATGTAATTTTACTTGTTTTTAAACTGCAGCTTCATTTGACCTAGTTTCTGTTTTTTACTTCTCACTGTATTGGGGTTTTGACTGTATTTGCTCTGTGGAGCATCTCAGTACTTACGGTTGTGTAACTGTCCCTCTTCGTGTTGCAAAGTACAGACTAGTGTGTGTCGGGTTGAAAAGACCATTCTGGATGCTCTATTTGTAAACCTAAAAGAATATTGTTTTTATTTGATTTCATGAAGCTTCGTTTTCCCGTCTGTTCTTTCTTCTTGAAATGCAAATACAGACTTGCACTTTCCTGTGGACATGTGGATAAACTTAATTCATTTACCACCAAAACAGGGTACAGCTTTGTAGAGCAATTAGAAATTAGCTTAAGCATTGCTACTTTAAGTTTATATCCTCATTTCCTTCATAAATAAATCATTGTAATACTTCTTACTCTATCTAAACACATCTCATCTGAAAGACAAGATCTACTGGGACTCAGTTCATTCAGTTGGTTCATGTCATTCCATTATGTTAATAAAATTGGTATTTGCTTATTCTACAGCTGCTGTGTGGGGCTTTAGAGAGTCTGTAATTAAAATCCCAAGGTTTGTGGCTTCTTACAGGTTTCTAAATAGAAAAAAGTCTATAATAAGGAGAAATAAACTGATCAATGTATAATAGGCATTTAAGAGCATTTCAACACAAGTGCTATAAGGCCAACAGTTAAATTACACTAAAAATAAATTTGACTTCTTTATTTCAAATCAGATAGAGTGATGGTTCCATGTTTTTAGTAGGAAAAAAATCCTTTAACTTGACAGCATAATGTAGCATATTTATCACTAGCAGAGTGTAATGTTAAAGTAATGTTAAAGGTTATCAGAGTACCTGGGTTTAGTATCTCCTCTACGATTTATTTGCTCTTCATATCAGTAAATTAGGGATAAAAATATCAGCACTACCTAGACATAGAGTTACAACAATCACAGGAATATATGAAGGCACTTTTAAAACAGCTAACTGGTATCCAGATGTAAATTTAGTAAATAATGCACTATCACAGAGCCAGGAACATGATACTCAGTAATAAATAAATGTGGCTATTACTCTGATTACCTATGTCAGTGATCCATGTGCATAGAAAGACCTTGTGATAATGATACTCCTTTTATGCTTTTTCTTATTGAACATCTTTGGAAAGGGAGTAAAGCAAATATGTTTCTTAATTTGATAAAGTTTTACTGGATATCTATACTTTGCTAAGATATAATAGGAAATATATATTTATATATATTCTTTATTTTTTTTTTACTTTATGGGCCATTCATTCATTCATCCCTTTATCCAACATTGCTAGAGACTATCACAAATATATCAGTTAAGTTATACACTGTAGTGTGTTTTCATGTGGTAAGTGTTATGAAGAAAAAATAAAGCAGAAAACAGACAGGAATGCTTAGGTAGAGTATAGAAGGGAGGCAGTTTTAATTTTGAACAGAGATCCGATAAAGGAGACATTTGAGGAGAGAATAATGTTGAGGGACCAAGCCATGTGGACATCTGGGAGAAACATTCCAAGAAGAGGAATCAGTAAGAGCAAAGGCCTTAAGCTAGTAAGGCATCTAGCTTGTTGAAGGAACATTCAACAGCCCTGGGTGGTGAGAAAAGTCTGAGCTTAGGAGAGTAAATAAGAGAGGAAGTCAAAGAGGGAATGAGGACCCAAGTCATGTAAGGATTTCTGTTTTGCTCCAAGTGAGATGAAAAGCCACTGGAAGTTTAAGCAGAAGAGAGACATGTGCTGGTGTAATTTTAACAGAATCGGTCTGGATACTCTGGTGAAAACAGATTGCAGTTATTACCCTTGGAAAGCTTTTTCAAGATAATCAGGGGACAGGTGATGGGAGCAGAACTAACTCATAGCAATGAAGGTGATGAGAAATGGTCTTTTGAAGTTAGTAGAATTTGCTGACTGGAAATGGGGCATGATATAAAGGATGAAGTGTAGGATGATTTCCATGCTTTATTTATTTTGCTTTTGCCTGAAGAACTGGAAGGACATAGGTACATTTACAAGATGGTGAAGACTTTGGGAGGAACATGATAGAACAGTGGAACTCAGTGAAGTTGGAAATACCTATTAAGCATCAAAGTGAAGATGACAAGAAGAAATTGGCTATATGAATATGAAATTCAGGAGAGAGTTCTACACTGTAGATAAAAGATGTGAACATTTTTTGTATGAATAATAAGTAAAGCTATAAAATTCGATGAACTCATCTAAGACATGAGTATAGTTAGAGTAGAAAACAAAAATCTTAGGACTGAGTTTTCCAGTATGCAACCCTTAAAGAAATCACACTGATGATGAGATACATGCAAAGGAATCAGAGAAGAAGGAAAAAAGATAAGTGAAAAAAATGTTTTCAAAAAGCAAATGGTGTTCAACTGAGTTAAGTGTTCTTGGTCAAGAGAACTAGAAACTTACCATTGGATTTAGCAGTGGCAGTCATTGGGAACCTTGGTAATTGTCATTTAGTATAAAATGCAGAGATTAATCAACTATGCACCTAAAGGAATGTAAATCTGCCACTGTGAAACAAAGGTACAATGGTGTAATAATATCTGATTGCAGGGACATATACTGTAGTAAAATAAGGCTCTGGGGAAGACTTCCTGAAGGAAGTGATGATCAGAGGAGAGCTGAAGAACTAGGCAGAACTAAGTATACAAAGAAGTGAGGAAAGAACTTCCTAAGTCAAGGTAATGGTAACAGAAAGAAAGCCTATTATAGTCCTTGTGGAGGAATCAGTGGGAGCCAAGGTCAATTGAGAATGGATATCAAATCCAAAGTATCTTTCAAGACCAATGTCAAGAAGCTTACTCCCTATATTTTGTTCTAGGAGTTTTATAGTTTCAGGTCTTATATTTAAGTATTTAATCTGTTTTGAGTTGGTTTTTGTGTATGGTGTAAGATAGGGGTCCAGCTTCATTCTTTTGCATGTGGCTGTCCAAGTTTCCCAACACCATTTATTGAAGAGACTTTCTTTTTCCCATTGTATATTCTTGGCTCCTTTGTCAAAAATTAATTGATTACATATACATGAGTTTATTTATGAGGACTCCATTCTTTTCCATTCTCTTATGCATCTACCTTTATGCCAACACCATACTATTTTCATTATGATAGCATTGTAATATAGTTTGAAATCAGAAAGCATGATGCTTCCAGCTTTGTTCTTCTTTCTCAAAATAGATTTGGCTATTCAAGTTATTTTGTGGTTCTATACAAATTTTAGGATTGTTTGTTCTATTTGTGTGAAAAATGACACTGGAATTTTGAGAGGGATTGTATTGAAACTATAAGTTGCTTTAGGTAATATGGACATTTTAACAATATCAGTTCTTTCAATCCACGAACACAGAATATCTTTCCACTTGTTTCTTCACCTTTCTCCATCAATGTCTTAATAGTTTTCAGTATACAGATCTTTCACCTCCTTGATCTATTTATCCCTAGGTATTTTATTATTTTTGATGCAGTTATAAATTGAATTGTTTTCTTACTTTCTCTTTCTGATAGTTTGTTGGTATGTAGAAACTCAACTGATTTTTGTATATTGATTTTGTGCATTGCAACTTTACTAAAATTGTTAATTAGTTCTAACAGTTTTTTGATGGAGTCTTCTATATGTAATGTCCTACACAGTGGCTTGAAGTTTCTCGTATAGAGGAGTTTGTTTGTTTGTTTTTCCTATTCTAAAAACAATGGAAAACCATTTAAAGATTTTAAAATGGAATAGGGGTGGGGATGGTAAAATATTCTCATGTTTATACTTTGAGATTACTGGATATTCATAAAGAACAAATTAGAAGAGATTACTGTAGATGACAAAGAGACAAGTTGAATTGTCTGGAAAATTGCAGCAGTCCCTGGAGAAATGTTGAGAAATGTTGGCCTAGAGTGTTTAGTAGTAACATCAGGGAGAAATAGACAGATTTGAGAGAATAGATATCTGTTCAAAAATACAGTTGAAACATTTAGCAGGAAAAAAACCAAAACTGAACCATGAATTAAATAAGCACCTCTAAATATTTATGAAACATTTAAAATACTTTATTATTCTCCATTCCTCTTCATTGTCATCAACACTGCAGATCTGAAGGCAGAAACCTAGAATGATAGTCCTGATCTTGTCAATATGTCAACCCACAGAAAAGTACATTTATGTTGTACTGTGGAACAGAAGTGAAAGTGAAGGAAAGAATTATAAATTGTATTATCAGAAGAATATTAGATTCCATCTTCTTTCCCAAAAATACTTCTTACCTATATTATTGATTCTTCTAATTGAAATAATTGAAAAGTTCCATGTCTAAATAAATCAGGGGGAAGAAAACTACATTTAAAAAAAACTTGTCAGGAATAATATGCTAAAAGTAATAAAAATTACAAATCTTAATTGTATATTCTAATTTTTTTTTGAACACAGCAGATTAAAAGTTACTTATGCATTAGATTCCTGGCTATAATTCAGTATAGCATTATTTGAGTGACACCAAAGCAGTAATAATGTGTGTGGCATAATCTTCAAAAAGGTCATTAATTTAACTCACTGCTTAGGTGTTTTCCCATCCTGGCCAAATAAAAACCGCCTCCTGGCAGAGTAAGATTCCAAATTCATAACATGTAATCTGTTTTCTCCAAAATGGGATAATCATCCAATAGGCATTGGGTTCACTCAGTAAGCATGCTGTCTAGACACAAGGCAGGAATACTGTTTGGCTTGAAAAGCCACATAATAGCTCATAAAGTAATTGTCTTCCAACTCATCCAAAAGTCATCTTGGGAAAGATGGTCAAATCTCTCAGCTGCCTAACCAGAGTTTAGAAATCCCAGTAATATATATTCACAATGGCAGGCAAACTAGTTTGTGATAGCATATTTCAAATGGAAACTGGGAAACAGGAAGCTAAATCCGTGTATATCAGGATACAGCTTCCC